ACCCATCAACACCACACCGACCACTCCAACAACACCCACCACTCCAACAACACCCACCACTCCACAACAACCAACAACCAACAACCAACAACCACTACCAAAACCCACTGCATCAAAACCTAGTTATAAAGAACTATTGAATAATTTTCAAGAATATAAAAAACTACTTGAACAACAACAACAACAACAACAACAACAACAACAACAACAACAACAACAACAACAACAACAACAACAACAACAACCACCACCACCACCACAACAAAAACAAGAAAACATGAATATTGACTCAGGTGTCACTATTCCACAACCATCACCACAACCTGGATATCAAGCAATAAGACGTTTAAATCAACGTTTGGAGCTCTACCAATTAGAGAATAGTAGGGACATCCCAGGAGATGGAAATTGTCAGATGCATGCCTTATCTGACCAACTTTATGGCAACTTGAACCACAGTGCCGAGATAAGAAGAGTCATTGCCACATGGCTCATAAGAAATAAAAATTTCACCCTCCCAAATGGTGCAAAACTATACCAATTTGCAAATACCAATAATTGGAATAGATATTGTAACAATATGGCAAGATCAGGGACTTGGGGTGACCATTTAACTTTAATTGCTGCTGCTGAAATTTTAAAATCAAAGATTACAGTTATTTCATCTGGTGAATCTGATAGCAGCTCTTTCATTGAAATTCTTCCAAGTTCAATAGAAAATTATAGAGCAATTATATTATCTCATCACGACAAACACTATGGTTCTTTACGCCAAATGATTTAAATAGGTCCAAGATGTAATTCAACATTATAATTTAACACTAAAGGTAAATAATTATTTTCTTTTTTTTTTTATCTTTTATAATTTTTTAATAATTTATTAATTCATTTTTTTTTAATACAATAGATTTCATTTTTATAGTATGTTTTGACATTTGTCTAATATATTTCGGTATTAGTACAGCTAATCAATAATTTATAGACAGAAATGGTATGTAAAATAATATTATTATTACAAATTAGTTTTAAACATATTAATAATTTATTTATTTAATTATTAGGTTCAATAAAGAATATATATTTAAATAAGGAGCTGATAAGCAGCATCTGAAAAGCAATTACCCAAACGTATTTACAACTTTTAGCAAATTCAATTAAAGGTCAAAATGATGGTTCAAGTGATAGGTAAAATGGTGGTCCAAGCAATACCTCAAGTAGTGGTACAAATGGTGGCCCAAGAATTGTTTAAAGTAGAGGTTCAATTGGTCAAATATTGATTCAAGTGGTAGCTCACGTAGTGTTTCAAATGGTGGTCCAAGTAATATTTAAAGTAGTGGTTCTAATGGTGGTCCAAGCAATGTTTCGGAGTCGTGGTTCAAATGGTGGTCCAAGCAATATTTCAAGTAGTGGTTCTAATGTTGGTCCAAGCAATATTTCAAGTCGCGGTTCAAATGATGTTTAAAGTAGTGGTTCAATTGGTCAAATATTAATTCAAGTGGTATTTCGCGTAGTGATTCAAATGGTGGTCCGAGCAATATTTTAAGTAGTAGTTAAAATGGAAACCCAAGCAATATTTCGAGTAGAGGTTTAAAAGGTGGTCCCAAAAATGGTTCAAATAGTTTTTAAAATGGTAGTCAAAAGTCACTCAAATGGTTCAAGCAATTTTTAAAGTATGTTTCAAGAAGTTATATAAATATTGAATAAAACGTGGATGGTTCAAAAAATTACAACCGTTGTAATTTTGTTATAAGTAGAGTTTCAAATAGTGGTTAAGGTAGAGAATCAATGCAGTTTCAAGTGGCTTACATCTAATAGTGATTCATGTAGTACCTCAAGTGTTAAATAGAATTATAGGGGTCCAAACAATTTAATTAAATCAGATAAACAACCTAAAAAAAAAGTTAAAAGAATTAGGGATGTGAATAGAGATATTTTGTTTTAAAATTTAATTACCAGAAAGATCAGAATTAGTTATTTTATTTCAAGAGTTGGTAATACACAACCTGTTCTAGAAGTAGAATTGAAAAATAATATTATTAGTAGTTTCCATAGATTTACAAGTAGCTGTCACCCTGTTGCTATTTCCTTTATAGTAGAAATCGAACTTAGGTATGGTATCTTTATTTAAAATTTTATTTAAATTTAAACTATTAATTAAAAACTTTTCATTTCTTCTTTAAATACAGTAATTAATCACACCCAACATAATAACAATGCAGTATAGTAGATTTATTGTACCAATCTCAGATTGTCATTTTTTATATAAAATTTCTTTCAATTTTTTCATATTGTTTTACACAACACAGTAAATAAACATAAATAGTTCAAACAAATGACAGATCAATCATAAGAATCTTTTACACTAGTGAATCATTTTTTGGCAAAAGTACCGAATCTGCTTCATCAAGCTGTGCAAAATCTGTGGTCAAGTAGAAGAATCTATTGATTCTGATAGTGTACAATCATGCTTCAACTAATCAAGTCAGCACTAATCAATCTTATAAACTATTTTATGAATAACATTAATTCGCTCTGGCCAAGCAACTATGATAGAAATAAAATAGTTTTAGGAACAAAAGGTAAAGCCACAGTGTTCGTAACCATTGATCAATTATGGAATATCAAAACTCACCACTTCAAAAAATCCATTTAACTTTAGTGTTCATTTACCATCAAAACAACACAGCAACTATTTATAGAATTAATCCAACTTATTGAAACATACAATTATTATGAAAACCTCCCATTAACTGGTAAAAAAGATTCAGGTACAATTAGACATATTGATATTTTTATAAACCAAATTAATTAATTATAATAAAAAATAAAAACTATTAGAAAATTATAAATTATAAAAATGATATAACAATCATTATTATAATGTTTTAATTTAATAATAAAAAAAATATTAAATTAATATTTAATTTTAATAAAAAAAGACACATTTTATATGAAAATTATGTTAAAAATAATTTTAAAAATTTTATTTATTTATAAAATATATTTTAATTAATTAAATTCTAAATTATCTATACATAGGTTGTATAAGTTTTTAAAATATTAATTTTCAATTGCATTTAGATTTTCTATTTTTGTTCCATTTTCGTCTATAAAGGCGGTTAATTGGTTTAGTTTTGATCTTTTGTGGGGAATGGATTATATGAATCTTGATTGTACTTCACCTTGTGTGTATCTTGTAGTTAAAAAATTTATTTTCAAGCTTCTTAGTGCTAATTATTGAGAAAAGGTTGCTCATAATTCTTTAGCTAGATCAGGATGCATAAAATACACTATAAACATAGTGGTAGAACGAGTTTCCTTCAAGCTACCATTGCTCCCCCACATGAGACTGGGGTTTTGAAATCCGGGACCCGCCACTTTTCATTCTGCGGCTCTATCATTGCCCCAGATATCTTATAATTTTACATTGTAATGTAATCACTACTTATTATATATCACTTTAGTTAATACTTGAAGATAATAACCATTTTAATTCAATATACATTAATTTAAATTAAATAAATTAAAATTATAAAAAATATTTAAAAAAAAAAATTTTAAAAATTTCAAAAAAATAAAAAAATTTTTCGGTTTATTTCAAAAATACACATTTTTCATAACATAAATAATTATAGTTTAATAAATACTATTTGCTTTAAATACTTATAGATTTGAACCTACATTACACTTTTTTTTTCCACACAAAATATCTAGTTGTATCGAGGCTCGGGTCGAAACAAAAAGAAATTGTTGAATCACGAATAGATAATTTAGTGGAACAATAAATAATAGTTTAGAATAATATTTTTTACATAAACATAATTTAATAATAATAATTAATAGTAATAATTAATCAAGTAATAATAAACATGATGAAAAGTAACAAAACCGTTGATGAAAGTAAAATCCAAAAGCTATTAGCTAATCAAAACCTTTTAAAGGAAGAGAACAAAAGACTTCAGATTGATTTGGCTGAAATGAAACGTATGGTCGAAGATAAAGAATCACTTTTGGTCGCAGTCAACGCAGCCCGCAGGGAGGATATGCATATGACCCAGATGAGAATGTCTATTAACCGAGACTTACAGAATGAAGTTGCAGTTCTTAAAAAGAACGCAGAGAGACGTGAAAAGAAGATCGAATATTTAACCGATGAAAATGCAGACTTAAAATATATAATAATCGATAAAGAAAGGGATATCAAGAATTTAGAAAGGAGGGTAAACCAACTCAGTAAGGTTAGGGATGAGTAAACTTTTAGCTGATTTTTACACCATTCGACAGATCTTGAAAAGATAAACAACAACACATCTTTTCCACACTGCAAACACCTACCCAAGAAAAAAAACAACACTCCAAAAATCATCATTAATCTAATATCCAAAGATCTTCAATCTTTAACAATCTTTTAGATTAACCTTCAATCTACATTTATTCCATCCTATCCCACATTTTACACTACTATCCAAAAAATCACTGATCAATTCCGCATTACCAGCCTTTTACCGATATGTCTGATTCATCATCTATCTCATCTGAAACCATATATGATGAGTTCAACAGCCCCATCAACGACAAAACCCCAGCAACGAAGAAACGTTTACGAACTGTTGTCTAATGTTGATCTATCAATCAACAAAATAAATCAACTCACCTCGCGTGAAAGAAACGGTGGCCTATATCGACTATCGCTTTACCCAGGAAAAGATATCCCAAAAGATATTAAGGACAAAATCATTAAACTAATCGTTGAAAGTGACTGTTGCACCATTCCAAACATAGGTCAAAACAAGGATAGTATCAAAATTGATATATCATTAGACAAAATACCAAAGCTAATTGACCTAAGG